TTTAACTGTGGGATTTTCTCTGGAAGTGTTTCCTTGTACGGTTGAGGGTCCTAAGACAAGGTCTAAGGACAGAGGGTCTAAAAGGACAGAGGTGTCGTTTCCTCATACTGATATTTGAACAACTGTGCTGTTGTATTTGCCGTAAAGTGTCCCTACTGTAGGCTATTGTTATTATATGTACAACACTTTGGCTCGACCAAAAATCGTTTATAAATCTGCTATATAAATAAAACTTGATTTGATTTGATTTGATAACGAAGCCTCTCAAAAACAGCTGCCATTTTGTTGTTCTGTGGAAAAAGGAAAGAGACCGTTGAACCGATAAGGCCAGAGGCTTCCTGTTGAATCACCTGCGATCCTCTGCATCTTCATGCGTCGGGCTTGGATGCGGCCCTTGGCCAGCCGCTGCTTGGCGATGATGCAGCGGATGTGGTCGGCGAAGATGAAGTTGGCCTGCAGGAGGGGCAGGGGCTTGGCGTGGGGGTTGGCGCTGGGCTTATGGATGATGATGTTCAACGCTCTGCTGTCGTCCTCCACGCCAGACACCTGCATGTCCTGTTGAGAGAGAGAGGCAGAGGAAGAAGAAGAGGGGGAACAAAGAGTTGGGGAGAGTGGTACAGAGATTTAAAAGCAAGGCCAACAAAAAACATCTGGATAAAAAAGTGAATGCCAATAATGAGAAAAACAAGAATTAGTAGCACATAAATAACAGATTTATAGTATATACATAATAGACGAGAGTCAAGTGGATGAAAAGTGACTTCAACTTTTGACGCCAGTGGCAGTTCAAAGTTCAAAACAATAGTTAACAAGATATTCAGAAAGTAGAAATCACAATATGTGTTTCTCAACGTCAGTACACTGCATGTGGTCCCACGACAGAATTTCTTTAGAAAAATGATAAGCAATATCACTTCATCTTATCTGAGGCCATACTGACCAAGAATGACTAAATATGCTCGCTTACGTAAGTAGTCTCTCCCATTACACGATGCTTACTTTCTTTTAATCATCGTGTGAAAGGAATGAGATTAAGTGCTGAGGAAACTTAAACAGGAAATGTAACGGTGTGCACAACAGAGTGGCACGGACAGAAGAACAGACAGGATGGGAAATACTAAATGAAAGTATATGTTTAAGGTCGAAGGAATACATACAATTAAAACATGAAAATAATTGAAAAGAGGAGGAACAGATACAGATCCATGGTTTTAATAAAGACACATCCAAACAGGCTGGCACACGGCGACTCAGTCTTACTTGCAGAAGGCCGGCGAACTTCACCACGCCCCATCCGAGGCGCTTGGTTTCTGGCTCCACCAAACTCATCTGGTACACATCGACAGCGAGGAACCTCTGCGCCTGGCCTCCATCTTTACTGACCACCATGCAGGCTATAAGGTCACTGTTATCTGAAAACAAAAAAATGACATCATGAAGGTAAAAAAAATGCAAAGTTTACCCAAGTTAAGGTGTGGCTGAATACGTTAGGATCAATGCTCTGCACTCAACCATGGCAGGAAGGTAGATTTAAAGCTCTAATAAGTAGGAAATTACAACCATTTTTATTTTATTTAACTAATGGGCAACAGAATAACACTGCCCATCTATCCCTACGGTACGTCTTCTGGACACCATGAATGCATGATTTATATTTTTCACATCGTTTCTTATTAGGCGCTTTTACCCAAAGCTACTTAGTGTATTCAATACTGTGGACAATCCTCACAGGAGCAATTTGGGGTCAAGTGTCTTGCCCAAGACACGGCGACCTACTGACTGCAGTGGGTGTCAGGTTAGGGTAAAGATAATAATTAATCTGCTGGTGGAACACTTCCCTAATAATGGCTGGAATAATAGAAAAGTGTGGAGAGTCCCTTTTCTAAAGAGGCTACACACACACACACACACACACACACACACACACACACACACACACACACACACACACACGACACACGACACGACACACACACACACACGACACACGACGACGACACGACAACGACGACGACGTACGACGACGACGACGACGACGACGTACGTA